CTACCACTTGAGCCACAGCGCCACTTCTGGCTTTTTCTGCTTATGTGGTGCTGAGGAATCGAACCCAGGGCCTCATGCATGCAAGGCAAGCACTGTACTACCACTGAGCTACCTTCCCAGCCCCAGTCTACCTTTTTTTTTTACTGGTTAATTGGATATAGAGTCTCTCCAGCTTATCTGCCTGAGCTTGCTTTAAACCATGATCCTTAGCCTTCCTCATATCTTAGCAAGGATGCCAGGAGTGAGCCATCACGCCCGGCTCCTCCTACCCCACACTTGTACGTGAAGCTTCATAGAAAGACAACCTAAAACAGAGACAAATCCCTAGCTTCTATCATGATGAGTGGACACCCATGCCAGAGTACCATGCAGCCAAGAGCAGGACAAGGCTCTGATCCACCGCACAGCATGGTGGGACCTGAGGCTGAAACAGGCCAGTCCACAGACAGGAAGTGGACTAGAGGGGGCTGGGGAGGCAGCTCCCTGCCAGGACTGGGTTTCTTTTGTCATGGGGAGAGAAGGTTCTGGAATTTAGTTGTGGTGATGGTTGTGTAACTCTGTAAATATACCAAAACCCACTTTATTATTCAGAGTCAAGCTTTTCCTAGTCCCCTGGGCTACTGGAACCAGGCCTTTCCCATGAGCCACACCCCAACCCTGTTGTCAAACTCCATAGGCACTTTTCCCCATGTGTGAGTGCACCTGCCATGAACCAATTTTTTTTTTTTTTTTGTCGGTCATGGGGCCTGAACTCTGGGCCTGAGCACTGTCCCTCAACTCTTCAGCTCAAGGCTAGCACCCTACCACTTGAGCCAAAGTGCCACTTCCAGCTTTTTCGGCTTATGTGGTGCTGAGGAATCGAACCCAGGGCCTCATGCATGCAAGGCAAGCACTCTACCACTGAGCCACCTTCCCAGCTCCCTACTTTTGTTTTTGAACAGCCAGGCTGAAGAGGATAGGAGAGAGACTTAACCCGGGCATCTGTGGCTCACACCTGTCATCCTAGCTACTCAGGAGGCTGAGATCTGAGGATCACGGTTCAAAGCCAGCCCAGGAAGGAAAGTTTGTGAGACTCTTATCTCCAATAAACCACCAGAGAATAGGAAGTGGCGCTGTGGTTCAAGTGGTAGAGCGCTAGTCTTGAGCACAAAGAGGCTCAGGTACAGTGCCCAGGCCCTGAGTTCAAGCCCCAGGACTTGGGGGGCGGGAGGGGGGAGGAAAAAGACCTGGAAATGAGCCTACTGAAACAGCGAGGCTAGGAGCAGGATCTGAACCCAGGGCCCTGGAGCATTGTCGGGGGAAGAGGGTTGAGGGGGGTTGAGGGGAAAGTTGAATTACAGCCAGCAGCTAGCAGGCACCATGATATTTGTGGTTCATTAGTTAACCTAGTGTCATTTAATCTTTCTTAAAACTGACCTATAGCTAGGCCCCAGTGGCTCTCCCATCATCCTAGCTACTCAGGAGGCTGAGAGATGAGGGCTGAGGTTCGTAGCCAGCCCAGCACAGGAAAGCCTGTGAGAGACTCTTATCTCTATCTTATCTTACCCCAAATCAGTCAAAAGCAAGGTGTCGCTCAAGTGGTAGAGTGCCAGCCTTGATTAACAATCACAGGACAGTGCCCAGACCCTGAGTTAAGGTCCCAGCACTGGTGCATGCGTGTGCACATGCGCATGCGTGCGCGTGCGCGCGCACACACACACACACACACACACGTGGGGACCATGGAAGACAATACTGGGAGTCATGAACTGCCACACTAAAACCCACGGGGCAGATGGGGCATGAAAGACACCAAGACTTGGCTTTTAACAGGTGGAGCCACTTCATCATTAAGAGGCCACGGCCACGCCACAGAGTAGAAAGCAAGGTGAACTTCCTGGAGGAGGTGGCCCGGCCAATAACCGCCGCTTATAGGAGAGAAATCACTGCTGACAGACGGATCCACAGACAGGAGTGTGGTGGGAAACACGGGGGGTCTGGTGGGTACCTCTGGCTCTGCGGGGTCCGGGTCCCTCTCACTGTTCTTCTTGTTCGGGGTCTTCATGTTCTTCCAGTTCATCCACATCTGGCTCAGTTTCTCCTGCCCCTCCCCCAGCTTCTGATCCACACTTTGCTTCGCGCTTTCTATCTGCAGTTGAGGGAGGAGGAGATGAGGAAAGTGTCTAACACCCCCTTCCTCCCCAACCCCAGGCCCAGAGGGGGGCCTGAGCACCGCCCTCCATGTGAGTTATCCAGTGGGGAGGCAGAGGAGATATTGTTCCCTCCTCTTGCCCCAAGGCCTGGCCACTAGACTGGCTTTAGCCAAAGGGACATGAAAGCTTGAAATTGCATGCAGTGGAATACTATTCAGCCATGAAAAAAAAAAGAAAATTTTGAACCCACAGTTGAATATGCAGATGACACTCATGACGAGGCAGACATAGAAGGACAGGAAAGGGTCTCAGGTCCCAGGAGCCATCAGAGCCACAGAAACAGGAAGCACAAGGGGGGGAAAGGAGGGGAGTTAGAGTTGGAGACAGACAGAGCTGCAGTCTGGGAGATGGAAGGTTCTGGAAACCGATAATGGAGTCGGGGTGGGGGGGAATGGCTGAACAGCCATGTGACCACGCTGAATGCTGCTGAGATGTGCAAGGGAAGGTCATCTCAGTAGAAGAGCACCTGCTTGGCACACGTAGGGCCTGGGTTTCATTGCCAGCCCCCTAAAAAGAAGGAACTGGACACAAGTGGCTCACACATTGTGATCTTAGCAACTCTGGAGGGAGGCTGAGATCTGAGGATCACAGTTCAAAGCCAGAAAAGGTCGTAAGACATTTATCTCCCATCAACCAGCACAAAACTGGACTGGAGTTGTGGCTCAAGTGGTAGAGCATTAGCCTGGACAGGAAAACATAAAACAAGAGCACAAGGCTCTGATTTCATGCCTCGGTACTTGCACCAAAAGAAAAAAGAAAAAGATGAGTCAGCTGGGTATTGGTGGCTCACACTTGCAATTCAAGCTACTCAGGAGGCTGAAATCAGAGGATCGCGGTTCAAAGCCAGACTGGCCAGGAACGGCTGTGAGTCTCATCTCCAGTGAACCACCATAAAGCCAGAAGTGGCGCTGTGGCTCAAAGGTCAAGGACAGCGCCCAGGCCCTGAGTTCAAGCCCCAGGACTGGCAGGAAAAAAAAATACCCACGAAAACCACAAACACATCACCGAGGTTAGGCAAGCACACAGACACACACAAGGACAAGGACAGAGGCCGGAAGGCGCCAGCGGACGAGGGGCGACAGGAAGACCACGATCTGAGTCCCGCCCGGGCCCCGCCCCTCACCACGCCCCGCCCCCTCACCAGGCTGAGCGCATGCGCCAGCTGCTGCAGCGCGTCCTGCGCGCCCTGCCCGGCGCCCCGCAGCCGCCCCAGCGCGTGTGCACAGGCGCGCTGCCGCAGGCGCTCCGACAGCGAGCCCAGGCGCACGAAGTAGCTCTGCTCCCGCCGCTGCTGCTGCACCGAGGCCGGGTCGCAGCCCTCCACCGACGCGGCCAGGCGGGCTGCGGGGACAGAGGGGGCGGTGAGGTACCTGTCGGAGAAGCCCGGGCTGGGACGATGGCTCTGCGCCACCACGCCCGGCTCAAAGAGCGGGTTTTGGTGCATTATCCGGTTCTTTACAGAAAAGGGCCTGGCGCCACACGGGCTGATCGTTAACTCGGTGCTTGGTGCCAGGTATTTCCCTTTGAGCGCTAAGGACTTAATATGTCGGGGTGCAGGGGCTTAGGTTCGCGGGGGTCCCCATGCTGTGGGTTATGTGATCTTTAAAATAGGAAACTGGGGCTCAAAGAAGTTAAGCAACTTGCTCAAACCACCCGGCCAGGGGGGCAGAGCTGGCCTGGATGTCCACTCCCTTCGGAGCTTTTCGTTCTTTTCCTTTTTTTCGTGGGAGTCCTGGAGTTCGAACGTCGGACGTCCCTGGGAGCCAGGCATTCTACGGCTGGAGTCCCGCCCCTACCACGTAAAGCCACGCCCCCGTCGCAGCCACGCCCTCACATGTGAGTTCTGAGCGGGCCACGCCCCCAGCGCTTGGCCACGCCCACACATTAGGCCACGCCCTCACGCTTTGAGTCTCTAAGGGCCCTGGGCCCCCATTCCCACCCTCGCAACCCTTCACATGGTGGCCTTATAGAAGAGTCCCCACCAGCTGGGAGAGCGCCAGGGAAGGGGTGACACTGCCCCCAAAGAGATGTACTCTTAGCCGGGGGCCTTAGCTAGCGACTCAGGAGGCTGAGGAAAAGAAGACGCTCAATGGTAGTACCCAGGTACCCAGGCCATGAGTTCAAGCCCCAAGACAGAAGCAAAAAATCCACACCACATGCACTTGAGGTTGGGAACTCCATCCCGGCCTCAGCCTGCAGGGGTGACTGGCACGCAGCACCTCTCCCTCCGGGTGCACAGCTAGTCCGACAGCAGCTCTGCAGGGACACGTTCCCTTCTCTGGGTGGCCTCATACCAGTACAATCCAGGTCAGGGTGGGGTGGGGGGTGGAGGATGGAAGCTGGGGCAGGGCTTGAGTGGCAGCCATTCTAACCAATCACAGCAGGGCACAGGCTTCAGGCTCAGGCTACCCACTGTGGCCTAGAATAGATTTCCCCATACCAAGAGGAACCAACAATTCCAAGGAAGCCAGGGTGTGGTGGCTGTGGGGTCATTCCAGCTCTTATTCTGAACTTATTCCAGTTGTAATTCCGAGCAGAGGCAAAAGGATCAAGTTTCAGGCCAGCCTGGGCAAACCTTGTCTCAAAAACAACAAAACAAAAACCAGAAAAGCAAGGGCTGGAGTGGGGCTCAGGGGTGCATGCTTGCCCGCCCTGCCCTTGTGTCTACCCCCAGCACCCCAGAAACAAAACGCTCACCCAATACTTGCTAGGCATCAAGTTCTAAACGCATACTGTCCACCCCGACCCCACTCCCGGATGAAAAAATCACATGGGGCAGGGCACCAGTAGCTCAGGACTGTAATCCTAGCTACTCAAGAGACGAAGACCTGAGAATTTTCAGTTCAAAACCAGCCCCAGGCAGGAAAGTTCATATGATGATTATGTCCAAATGACCACCAAAAAGCCAGAAGTGGAGCTGTGGCTCAAGTGGTAGAGCACCAGCCTTGAGCACAAAAGCACCCAGACCCTGAGTACACATCACACAATCACACGGAAAAGAACTGAGAGGGGGCTGGATAGATTCCACAATTTGGTTAATGGCAACCAAATGAATGGGCAAAGAGAAGCCAAAGAAAGGGGACGTTGAGGCAGGATAGATGGAGCCTGCAAGGAGCAGAGAGAGGCAGAGGAAGGAGTCGGGGAAGGGACCAGGCAGGTTGTGTGGGGCCCTGAGGAAAATGGGAGCCCTAGAGGACTGTAGGCAGAGGAAACAGGGTGGGGGGCTGAGGACGCTGGGGTCCCCCCCAGCCAGGAGAAGGCGGCACACCGGCCTCTGCTCCAGGCGCCCTCTGGTGGCGGCTTTGGGGAGGACAGACAGCACTCAGGGTGAAGGTGAGTGGGGATGGGAGGTACAGGACGGCAGTGACAGACACATCCCAGAGGTCCCCAGGAGGCCACTCTCACCCAGCTCCTCATCCGTCAGGGGCAGGTGGTTGTCCACCCAGTCTTCTGACTTGCCCAGCATGGTGTCCACCCTACTGGTCACCATCTGACCCATGCGGGTGCCCATGACTGAGTTCATGCCTATGCTGAGCATGGACATCGTCAAGTCCACTGCCTCGGTCACGCTCATGGCCACGGTGTCCTTGGCGCTGGACACGGTGTTGGAGAACATCTCTTTGGCCTCCGTCATCTTGGTTGACACCAGGTCCTTGGTGTCAGCCAGGACCTAAGGAGAAGAGGACAGTGACAAAGTTGTTCCTTCCTGGCCTGGGCCCCCGTGTACCCCAGAGTAGCCACCGGGGGTGCCAAAGAGCATCAAATCCCACCCCAGCCTTTCCTGGACCTGCAACTGGACTGCCTAGGTTCAAATCCTCATCTTGTTTCTTTCTTTCTTCTTTCTCTTTCTTTCTCTCTCTTTCTTTTCTCTCTTTCTTTCTTTTTTGTAGGTCATGGGGCTTGAACAGGTGCCATCCTTGAGCTGAAGAGCTCAAGGTGTGACCACTACCACTTGAGCCACAGCACCACTTCCAGTTTTCCGGTGGTTCAT